GGGAGGGGCCCCGCACGGCGGCCGCCCGGCCCGCCCGCACCTTGCATGATGTCGTCGTGCCAGCAGTAGGTGAACTGGCCGTCCTCGCCGCACACGTCCAGGCCGCCCAGGTACACCTTGTCCGGCTGGCAGTCCTTGAGCTCGATGAGCTTGCCCAGGCCCGTCAGGAACTCCGCGTACCTGTAGGAGCCGTGCTCGTTGGACAGGATGGCGAGCTCGCTGCTGCTCTGCGGAGACAGGAGGGCGGCGCTGCTCCAGGCCCGGCGCCCTCAGCCGGGCCCGCCTGCGCCAGTCCAGAGCCCAGCAGCTGCTCAGCCCCGGAGGGGCCTGGAGGTGGGGTGGAGGGGGCCTGCTCCTGCCGCGGTCCCTCGGACCCCCAGCAGCCCTCCCGTCCTCACACCCCCCAATGCCCATGTGTGGGTTGTAGTTTTGCTCTAGGGCACAGTGGCTGCCAGGAGAGACCAGGGGAAGAGAAAGCTCCCCCAGGGTCGCCCCGCCTGAGCCCTTCTCCTCCGGCTCCTTTCCGGCCCTGCTGTGAGTGCACCCAGCGTGTCCTCACGCCTCCAGTCCAGGTTCGGGTCTCAAACCACAGCAGGCCATGTGGGACCCCGCCACCCCAACCACCGCTGCTAGCCCTCACCCCCATATTGACTCACCCCAAAAATCTGGTCAGCTGCACCTCCAGAACGCACCCAGGCCCCAGCACTGCTCATAGCCCGAGCCCCACAGCCTGCTCTTCTTGCTGGGACCCCCACCCTACCTTCACCCACCTACACAGCAGGTGGGGGTCCTGCTAGTCACAGCAGCCCTTGGTCAGAGCTGTCCCAGGTCCTCCACCCCCTCGGAATCCACGTGCAGCCCACAGCTGAGCCCTCCCCAGGACGTCTGGCCTGTCACCCGCCCGGCCCCATGCTCAATCGGTGACACCCTCCAGCACTCCCAGCAGGTGTACCTGCCCTGGGGCCTTCACACCAACCTGGAACCTGCCCCTGACTTTACACAGCTCTGCTCAAATGCCACCTCAGGCAGGTCACCCAGCACGCATGTCTGTGCCGGCACCCACGGCAGGGCCTGGCTCAGCAAGCACATGGTGCTCAGGAGGGCCACGGGGCTGAGCTGTCTGGAGGACAGGGGCCCAGAACCCACCTGCCTCGGCACGGGCCGCCCAGGGCCCCCACCTGCCTCGGCACGGGCCGCCCAGAGGCCTACCTGGCCTTCCCCCACATACAGCACTGCGATCTTGTGCGTGTCGTACGGCGGGATCTGATCCAGCAGCTGCACTGACCGCTCGAAGGGCTGCCGACACAGAGCCCTGCCTGAGCACAGGCGAGGCTGGCCCCTGCTGCCCTCACAGCCACCCAAGCCCTGCCACACAGCTGTCCCCACACTCTGCAGGCCAGGCTTCCTGCTGGGCCCCACCACGTGCGCTCCGGGGCCCGTGGCGGCTGCGCCTACCTCACTGGGCAGCAGGACGGGCTTGTTGGACTCATCTCCAAAGAAGGGCGAGTGGTACAGCTGCAGGAACACGAAGCTGAGGGAGAGCGGGGCGTTCCAGCCTGGGCAGGCAGCCACTCACAGGGAGGGATGCCCGCCCCGCCCTCCTGGGGACAGAACTGTCCCCCAGCTGCTCTCCCCAGAGCCCAGAAGTGCCCTGTCCACCTCCCCCCACCCTGGGAAGGGTGCCAGGAGCTGCAGCCAGGAGGGAGGGGCCCACCTGGGGTTGATACCCGGCACTTTCTCGGCATTAGAGGCTGCGGCTCTGCTCTTAAAGGCATCCCTCTCCACCCTCTTGCCCCTGCGTGACGGGGCCGAATCGGAGATGGTGTAACCTCGGGGCCGGAGGCCGCTGGGTGAGCGGGGAGAGCTGGAAGGCATGGGGCCCTCAGGTGGGGCCGGGCCTGGGCCCCGGTTCTCTCCGCCTGGGGCAGACCAGCCGGCACCTTCCCCACCCAGGGTTCCGGACTGTGACCGAGCCTTGGCTTCAGGGCTCAGCCGGCCGACATCAGCCTTGTCCGCAGGGTCCCCAAGGACGTCCTGCAAGGTCTGCAGCTCAGGTGACGAACTGGACTTGCTCAGAGGCTGTGAGGGCTGGAAAGGGAGGTCCACAGAGGGCCGGCCTCCCTCCAGGCACACTGCCCGCTCGATGGGGATGCCCCCGGCAGCCAGCCCCTCTGCGTGGGACAGCTTCTCCTCCTGGCTGGATGCCGACGATGACTGCAGGGGCGGTCCAAAGAGAACCGTGGTCAGCGGCGCCTGAGGGCCCACCCAGGCCGACCAATGGCGATGAGGACCCCGCCCCAGGGTCGGGCACGGCCCAGGCATTGCGCCTCCCCCGCCCAGCAGAGCTGCCTGTGCCCTATGACCCCACGGGCCAGAGGACGCCTGTGACCAAGGGAAAGCAGGGACAGCACTGAGATGCCGAGGCAGCAGAGGAGGGGGGGCACGAGGGCCGGGGCGGCCACAGCACCGCCCTCCACTCTTCTACTGGGGTCTTGGGCAGGCACATACACCAGCATGTTCTCCAACTGCTGGGCCCAGGCCTCGGACAGTGCAGTTTAGCCCCCTAACCATCATGCCAGCAGCTAGCCTGGCCTTTCTCTTTAAAAAAAAACCAGAGTCTCTTGGGACCAGCAGTTAGCGTAATGGCTATGTCGCTGAACTCCCATGTAGTTGACCATGGTTCGAGTCCCGGACCCGGTGGCTTAAACTCATGCTAGGCGCGTGTGCGTGCGTGCCCAAGATCCCGAGAGGAGAATGGGGGAGAAGGGATTGTGGCATGGCCATCCCCCCTGGGGGGTGATTTCTCTCTATCTCTCTCTGTCTTTCTGTGAGCGTACATGCCCTATAGCAAAAACCTCTCCAAAAAGAATTTTTTTTTTTTTTTAAAGAAACAGGGCCTCACTGAGCCGGCTCTGGACCTGTGTGACCTGCCCTCAGCCTTGCGTGGCCGAGCGGCTGCGGTCACAGTGCATGCCTCGCCTTGGTTAGGTGGAAAAGAAACAAGACTCGCCCAAGTTCCAGAGCTAGGCCTGGGGCTCAGGTCGCGCCCGTCCTGAGCCCCACCCCGCCACCGGGCAGACTCCTGCGACAAGGGCCTAGGCACTCACCCTGCTGTACACGTCAGCGTGTTGGCAGGGCTGGTCTGTGGCCAGGGCCGCCTCGAAGTCCTCGAACTCTGGGGGCTCCACTGGCACCTGCGTCTCGCCTGGACTCCCCTCCTCCAGGACCACTGCGGAGTCTGCGAGGACAGAGGAGGCTGCTGGATGCCAGGCCAGGCTCTGGCACTCAGGAGGCCCAGCGGCCCTGTAGGACCCCTCCAGGCTCTGGTGCTGCCGACCACAGAACGGGCCCAGTGGGAGATCTGACACGCACACCTCCTGCCCTGGCTCCTGGGGTCAGGGGGGAGCCCGCACTGCACCTGCACCTCCAGGAGGCAAGTGGGCAAGGACAGCAGGCCAGGCGCCCATGGGGAGACGTGGGCCTGCCTCTGCTCTGCCTGCTGGGTCTCCATGACTCAGGCCCCTGTGGCCGAGCTCCCTCCTGGTCCTGACATGGGCCTCGACACGAGAAGTGGGGAGTCCGGAGACCAACTCCAGGAGACCAAGCAAGAGGCGCGCTCAGGAAGGGCCGAGGCGAGGCCTAGAAGGTTCGTCATGCAGGACTCTCAATCCGAGCCAGTCAGTGTGCACCTCGCAGAGAGGGCACCCCAGGAGAGAGGGAGCCGCCGGAGAGGGCACCCCAGGAGAGAGGGCGCCCCAAGAAAGAGGGATCCCCTGGAGAGAGGGAGCCCCAGGAGAGAGAGAGCCCAGCGGAGAGGGAGGGTGCCCAGCAGAAAGGGTGCCCCAGGAAAGAGGGAGCCCCCAGAGAGAGGGTGTGAGGTCCCAAAGCAGTAGGCCCTGTATAGCGCAGGGTAGGGTGGGGTGAGAAGGAGTCTGGTGCATGGCCCGAGGATGCCCCACACACAGCCCTGCATACACGGCTCATCGGGCGCCTGCCGAGAACCACCGCCACACTGGCCTCCCCACGTGGCTCACAGGGACCTGGTGGGGCAGCCACTGCCACTGCCCATCAGGCCGTGCCCTACAGGGGCATCGAACAACCAGAGGCCCAGGTGGGCTCACCACCAGATAGCTGCCACCCACTGGTGTCTGCAGCTTAGCCAACGTTACCAAGGAGACCTGGGCCACCCCCACCTCCTTGGGCCACAGAGGACAGGAGGGAGCTGGGCCACAAGGGCCCGAGTCATGGAGATCCAGCAGGCAGAGCAGAGGGCAAGGCCCGGAAGGCCGGCAAGTCGGGACCCTGCTCCCACAGGCGATGAGGTGTGGCGGCCATGGAAGATGAAGATGAGGGCGATGTGACAGTGTCCATGCGGCACACGCCGCCCCTGCGGAGGCACCAGTACCTGCCCAGGAGACGCTCCTGCGCAGTGCTCCCGGGCAGCCAGCTGGGCACAGGGAGGACAGAGAGGCCACTGCAAGGGAGAGCGTGCGGGTGGCCGCATCAGCAGGAGGGGCTGCGCGGTCAGCGGAGGGAGGCGCCCCTGGTCGACACAGCCCCGGGCCTGCAGAGGAGAGAGGCAGGGCCAGCAGCTCCTGGCGCAGGGCGGCCCCGGCGGCAGCACGTGGGGTCCGGGCTCTCCGCTGCTGGGCTGGCCTGGGATGTCCTCAGTCCCTCCATGCCACGTGCGGCCACAGGAAGGGCCAAGAGCCTGGCAGGACAGTACTGAGCCCGCCCAGCAGGGCCCGAGAGAGTACAGGCATCCATACCTAAACCACACAGGCCAAGTCTGCAGGCACCCCGCGGAGGCCGCCAAAGGCTTCCCAGGGCTTTGCCCACGTGCACTACTGCCACCACAGTGGCACCCACGGGGCCTGCAGGTGTCAGTGTAGTCAGGGCAAGCTGCCCGGGAGCACTGCCTGGCCGGTACCTCCGACACCCAAGGAGGAGGGGCCCAGGCAGGTTCAGGAACTTGGCCCAGACTGTGCGATGCCTTGGGGAGGGCACCGGCCGCTATCGGACCGGGGTCACCAGGTAGTCCAGACGCCTCAGCAGCTCACCTGTGTTGGAGCGTGGGAGTGGAGGGGGCTTGGCTGTGCTAGCGGCCGGCACCGACAGCGACTTATACAGGGCGGTGTCGCGGTGCTCCTTGAAGCGCTCGGCTGCCATCAGGGCGTTAGACAGCTCCTGCAGGGGCATGTTGTCGATGTCCGAGGAGAAGGGGCTGAGCGGGTTCTCCAGGCTCATCAACCAGCTGGTGTTTCCTGGGGAGGGTGAGCCGCACGCCTCAGCCCAGGCCTGGTGCCTCCCGGCAGCCCTCCCGGCAGCCCCAGCTGTGCCCCGGGGCCAGAACCTCACGGTTAAGACCAGCATCTCTCAGAGGTCACACCTTCATGGCAGGTGCTGGGCACTGCCCCATGTCAGCTTGGGCATCCCGGACCAGGCCCCCGCTTGGGGAAGGTGCTCAGAGCAGCAGACTGTCTCCTGCCCGGCAGCCAGTGCTTGGGGCTACACACGGGCTCAGCCCTGCCCCTCCGTCCCAGCGGGCCCACAGTGCCAAGGGCCTCCCGAGCTCAGGCCTCTGCTAAGCTATCCTCTCCCTGAAACGCGCCACAGAGTTCTACCAAGCCCGACCCTGAGTACAGCTGGGACAGGGTCTCTAAGGGTGCACCATCGCCGGGGGGCTGTGCGCCGGGCTGAATGGGTCCCCGTCAGAAGAGGACACAGGCACACTGGGATGCGGAGCGTGGGACAAGGACTCACCAGCCTGCCAACACCTCCGCCACGGGCGGCAGCTGGCCTAGACAAATCCCCATCTGAGCCTCCCTGGGTGTGGCTCCCCCCCCCGTGGCCAGCCATGGACACTGAGTGCACGCTGGCTGGGCCAGGCCCCTCGGTACCTGTGGGTCTCCGGACCAAGATCTCCGCCCAGCCCTGGGTCAGCAGGGGCACATAGGCGGCCAGGTTGGACTTGGCCGAGGCCGGGGCCTGGGTGCTCGCAGAGGCCTTCTCGGGCTTGGAGACTGGGGCAGCCTGCGGGCCTGGAGCAGCAGGGCTGCTTGGGAAGTGGGAGGTCGGTGCGTCCAGGGCCCCGGCACGAAGGCCGTGGCCCCCTAGGAGAGGGTGAAAGGGTTAGTGACCACGGCCTGCCCACCGCCAAGACTCTGGTGCGGGGACAGCCACTCCACCTGGTCCTGGTCAGCCCGAGAGCGCCAGGTCACTACCCAAAGGGTGCCAACAAAGGGCAGTGCCAAGCCCCGCCCAGCTGGCCTTGGACTCAGGACAAGCCCTCCCCCGGCCCGTGGCTCCCACAGCTGCAGCAGAAAGGCGCGCTAGAGGATGCACGGCTGGGGACAGGCTGCAGGGCTCCAGGCAGACAGCACAGGCAGCCTCGTTCCACTGCCACTCCCTCCATGCGGCCAGAGATCAGCAGGTCACCAGGAAGTGGGCCAGCATGAAGGCAGCCACCCGACCTCTGGCTCCAAGGGCCCTTCCCGGACACCAGGCTGACACAGAGGCAGCTGAGGGCACCGGGCACCTTCGGGGGGCAGGCAGGAGCTGAGGCTCACCCGACATGGAGCGGACGCGGTCCCGGGCCCCGCGGGACACCTGCTGCCCAGCCTGGGACTCCAGCTTGGCCGGCGCCTCTTTGGTCTGCCTCACACGCACACCAGGGTCAGCGCTGAGGACAGACGCCCATGCACATGTCAGCGAGGTCCCCTGGCCTGGCCCCGCAACACAGTTCCACGTGGGAAGGAGCAGTCACCTCGACTCTGGGCCACTCTGCAGCTCCCCTGAGTCCAGGCCCAGCAACGACCGGGTCCCGGTGCCCACGCTTGTTGTTACGGTGACAAGCTTGTTCCCCACCAGCCAGGTCTTAGTCCTGCCGCCTGCCAGGAGGAACTCGCCCACGGGAGACCTGTGAGCACAAGGAACGTCCGTCCCCCACATGCCAGGGCGGCGCAGTTGCCCAAGGCCGGCCTGACCACAGAGCCTCAGTGCAGCCTCAGGAGGAAAGCACCCCTGCCCAGGCGTAGGCACGCACCTCCTAGGGACGGCCGTGAAGTTGGAGAACACGTAACGGGCCATCATGTCCAGACATGTCTCGGTGAGCTCCAGGTGGAGGTTTCTCAGGCTGTCGTCAGCCTGCGCCATGGAGCTCTCGTCGGCAGACCCCAGGCTGGCACTGGTGAGTGACGTCTGGATCCTGCTGGAGGGAGAGCCCAGGGCTGAGTCAGGGGCTGGTGGGCTGGGCAGAGCCACCACCACCAGGGCCAAAGCTCAACGCATGCAGGGCTCAAAAGGCCTCGCCTGCAAGGGCCTCTCCAGGGGACGGCGGCCAGCAGAGCCACAGCTTCCCAAACCGCGCAGACCCATCATCCCGGGGAGGAAGGGAGAGGGCTCGTGGGAAAGACCCAGGCCTGCTGGTCAGAGCAGAGGCTCAGGAGGCTGCAGACGGGACAGCCCCTCACCGAAGCACACAGGAGAGCGAGGTGACGGCCCCGTGGCAGGTCAGCGTAGTCATGCAGACACACGGAGACCGTGGAGACAGAACAAGATTGCATTCTGCCCACAGGGCCCCTCCTGTCGCAGACACCGGGCAGACTTCGTGGACGCTTCCCCCTCCCTCACTCCGATCCCAATCCCTGGGCCAGTGGGAGCTTGTGCCGGCTTAACTCTTCTGCAGTTTACCCCCTTTGCCACATTTTGCTCACGATGGGAAGGGTGGAGCACCCTTGCTCCCAGTCCCCACCCAGATCCCGCACAGCGGAGGCCAGTGTGAGGCCCTGGTGAGGAGGCGGGCTACAGTACAGGGCTTCCAGGCGGGGAGGCAGCTGCCCCTGGCTAGCGCAGCCCAGGCCTGATAGCACTGGCACGTGCTGGTGCCCGAGAGCACACACCTGCACCCTCGCTCAGCCGAGAGAGCTGACACACTGCTGCCTGCCCCTGGAGGGCCGAGGCCCCTGCCCAGCCCCAGTGCCCCCACACGAGAGCCCCTGTTCCCTTCCAGCTGCAACAGTAACAGACCTTTTCTAGAAGCCTATGGAGGAATGCCCACTGCCAAGACATGAAAACACCAAGCCCAGGAGAGCACTTCCCAGTGGCCTGCAGGGCACCATGCTGTGTGCAGAAGCCTGCCCCCGGGACAGGCCTGTAGGCACTGCCACGATGCCCAGATTTCTTGTTTCACCACCAGCTGGGGCTCCTGGTGGCCTCCATGGATGTGGGGCAGCCAGCCTGGGCTCATGCAGGGCTTGGGGACAGAATGCAACCTTCCCCTCGCCACCAGACTCCCGAGGCCCGGCTGGGGGGAGGTGCGGCAGATGACGAGGTCATGCAAGCAGCCCCATGCACCACCACCCGGTGCTCGAGGGCCAAGCTCAGGCCTGCGCCCGCCCGACACGCCCCGCTACCTGCGGACCACGCGCTCAGACACACTGACGCTGCGGCACCGGAAGGCCTCGGATGCAGCGCTCTCCTCGCGTTCTCTCACGGGCGGGGAGTGACTCGAGCCGTGTTTGGGGGGTCTGGCTATCCTCACACTACCAGGAGGAAGGAAGCCCCAAGCCCAAGAGCCCAGCTCCCGGGAAGGGAAGGGCAAGCCATGGGAGGGGTGAGGAGGGAAGATCCCAGGCCACAGGGTCAGGATGGAGAGGTCCCGTGGGTGAGGTGGACAAAGCCATGCCAGAGACGATCAGCGGGAAAGACAGAGACAAAAATGCATCAACACACCTCGTAAACGCAGCGGGGAGTCAGGCGTCACGCAGGACTGAGGGCAGAGCGCAAGCCACACAGCCGGCTGCACGGCGGAGTCCAGGCCACGTGGGCCAGTGTCCCCGCCCGCCCCAGGAGGCGCTGAGGCTCAGTCACGCTAAGAGGCTGCCCAGGAGCCCCAGAAGTGCAGGGCTGGCCGCTGGCAGCCAAGCTCACACCCTCGCCCGTCGCGGGGAGAACCAGGGAGGCTGGCAGGGCGATGGGCAGGGGTGGGGCAGCCGTTCAATGAGATGCAGACAAGGCAGAGGCTGGCACGGTGCTCTCTTCCTCGTGGCAGAAGCAGCCGTGAAGGTCAGAGACGTGCGTCTCGACAAGCAGCGGGGAGCAGCAAGCGCTTGGGGAGAGGCCTTGGGCCCGGGCGGCGGGGAGGTCACAGCTGCCCTTCGAGCTCCTCAGCGGGTGCTGACCCACACCAGACGCCTATAGCTACCACCCTGACCCCAGGTGGCACCCGCGCTCACAGTGCAGGCAGGCCAGGGTACCATCAGAGGCCCCGTGGTGCCGCAGGCCACGGTGGGCCAGCCTGGCACGTGTGAGGCCTCCGTGCGGCCCTCACAGAGCCTGCCCCAGCTCACAGACCCAGGGCACCTCAGCCCTAGCTCGGCAGGCCCCGTGTGCACCACGCTGGTCAGTCACGGCCGACGCCCTGCCCTGAGCCACCTGGCACTGGGCACACCCTGGCAAGCCCGTACCTCTTGGGCCTCTCGTTGAGGCTGGTGCTCCGTGCTCGGAAGCTGTCTTTCTCAGGGGTGTCATCGAATGACAGGAGGACATTAGAGCGCAGGCCCTGGTGGGGAGGCGTGGACGGGAGCCGTGAGAGCCCATGACAGGCTGGCCCTCGGCACACCTGCAGCTCCCACGGCTTAGGGCGAGCTACGGGCCCAGGATAAGGCGGCAGCTCCTGCCCTGTGTGCCCCAACATCACAGCACGACCAGGTCACACCCCTCCCTGTCTCCTGCCCCCGGCACTGTCCAGCTATGGACAGCCAAGGCAAAACAGGCCCAGCCCTAACAAGGGGCACAGGTCGCCACTGGCCCCTGGGCCTACCTTGGTGATGTAAGGGACAAAGTCTTTCCGGAAGGGCAGGCGGCACCTGATGAACCACATGGCTATGACGTGGTGGGCCAGGCACACGATGTACTGATTGAACCTGGGTTGAGAGAAGGGACGCACTGGCGTTCTAAACCAGGCCTGAGAGGTCGGGAGACGCACCGGCACGCCAGCCAGACCGGGCAAGGGAAGGGACGCGCCCGCACGTAAGGGACAAAGTCTTTCCGGAAGGGCAGGCGGCACCTGATGAACCACATGGCTATGACGTGGTGGGCCAGGCACACGATGTACTGATTGAACCTGGGTTGAGAGAAGGGACGCACTGGCGTTCTAAACCAGGCCTGAGAGGTCGGGAGACGCACCGGCACGCCAGCCAGACCGGGCAAGGGAAGGGACGCGCCCGCACGCCAGCCGGACTAAGGAAGCCAGCCAGAAGCAAGAAACTGAGAGCAGCGTCAGCGGCTTTGGGGGGGCGGG